GGATCTAGTATAGTGAGCCTAGCATATAAAATGATTGGCTTAGAGGTAGCAAGCGTTTCTGCGAACTAAGGACCTATAATACATTCACTTCACATTTTGCGTTCCACTGCACACTAGTCTCACCAATTTTGCTGTGAATTGTGTTCTTTAAAGGGAATTATAACGCTCAATCGTCGTCGCTGGGGTCGTCAAGTGGATTCCTGTTACGCTTTTTGATAACGCGAAAAAATTCTTTCTCGTTTTTCAGTCCGTCTCCATCACGATCTGCTTCATCAATAATCTCATGCATTTCTTTATCCGTCAAAGTTTCGCCTAGTTCGGTACACACACGCTTTAAGTCTTGGAACGAAATCGTACGTTTTATCATTGTCAAAAAGTTGAAAAAAAATCTCTGTGAGTTCTAAATAGAGAGAAAAAACGTATTTAGATGAGTTGAGTGTCATAAAGTAGACACAATGTGTACGTACTATTTTACCCGTAATCAGTTCAATAAATTCATTAAATTTGATCATCTCCGACTCGTCCTTACCAATATCAGTAAACATCTGATGACTTTCGCTTTCTTTACTTGAAATTCGCCGCCCGCATTGCAGCTTAAAGTTCCCGCATGTCAATGGTACCGCTAGAAGCTGTATCAAAAAGACGGAACGCTTGTTTGACTCCTTCTAGATTTCGTCATCCATTTTTTTCTTATCTGGCTTAGGCTTGCGACGCAGCGCTGCCCGAGACCGCGCAAAAGTTTAAGCGGACATGGTACTTGACTGCAATAAAATCATCATTATCTGTACAAACAGACAAAGTACATGGAGAATATACCATCTATTGTACTGAAACATGATCTGCACCTTTTAGATAATGAATGGATCAATTCTCTCGACTTACAATTTTTGACACTTATAGTCAAGGAAATCTCTATTTTAATAATCCAAACGTGGGATGCTGACTACTTGGACTAGAATAAAAAGATCAAATCCCAAGATATCTTGCACATTATCTCTCCCTCTCTGGCTATCTTCTAAGAAAGTTTTGCGCATGAAAGATCTGATGACATGAAGCAGATTACATTGAGAACGTTAAAGACGAATGACAAGAATTACCGTCTATTCTCATTGCAATACTGGCAGCAGCTTTAAAGGCAGCAAAATCTTGCAGCGGTTTTAAACTGCAAAGTTTTACCGTAGGGGCAGCATTCGCCTTGACCGACATTACGGGCACAAATAACGTACACGAGTTTGTTGACTGCCTCTTTCCAAACTACAAAGAGCGTGCATACTTGCAGCTGTTCACTTTTCCTACTCCTTGCTACTGCACCAGCTGTATGGTACAGGGTGCTTATCCAGGTGACATTCCAGCACATCTCTTAGGATCTTAACGTTGAGTAATTAAAGTCGTAGATTGACATGGTCTTCGTCCAAGGTTTTTATTTTTATACTTACTTACTTCCAACAAAACTGAGCATGAAGCTTTCTATTACTTTCACGTTTGCTGCTGTGACCGTCACGTCATCTTGTGCTACTGTCTCTGCGCTCGATAATCATCACGATAACGCTATCGGTTTTCGTCACAATACCTTACCGTGTACTGACGTGCTTTGCGATGATGACTACGCTCCTGTGTGCGGTTTCGACAACAAAACTTACCCGAACGCGTGCATTTTTCAGGCGACAAACTGCCACACTAATGTCACGATGGCTTATTTAGGGCCTTGTCGTGATAGGTTTGTGAATAACGAGCGGGTACACTCGTCAGCATCGGCTACTTCATCAAACGAGAAAACGCCTTTAATTCGCGACCGTACTCATTCAGCTAACGAAGAACGTGGTGTATCGTTTCATCCAGGTGAAGCAACACCGTTGCTCACCAAAGAAGTCCCTTATTCTAAGCTACAACGTATGATTGATGAGGTTGTAGCTGATGATGTTTTATTAGCTGAAGGTGTACATCCCTACGACTATCTCAAGGGGTTGCATGACAGATTCTCCACCTGGGACTGGAAGCTTTTTGGATCTTTCACCAGCTGGCTTAAGTGGTTGCGCACCATATTCGGTTTAAGAGTGGATAAATCAGCGGAACCGATGAAAGTGCTGAAAAGAATCGATCGAGCTGCTAAATTGCGTCTTGCACAGCTTCGACCTAGCATTTACGCTGACTATGTATCTTACGCCAAGCTTTATAACAAATACCATCTAATACAGGTGATAACAGAACATTGAGTCTCTGTCAAGGACGGATCTTGAGGAAGTAGCACCATTTACTCAGTCACTGTATGTGCTACAGTTACATAAAAACAAAATCAATCGTATTTTGTTATTTTTACGTTCAACGAATCGCGCATGGACCTGCCGTAGACTGAATTTTTCATGCTAG